TCGTGTTCGGCTCGTCAAACGAGCCGAACACAACACACTTTTTGAGCTCGAAATATAAACGAGCCTCGTTTACAACCCTAAATGCATATAACCTAAAAAAAAAAAAAATCGCATCTTTAGCGTTGATAATTCTTTTGGATTCTACAAATTTTTAAAATAAAAACATTACTATTCATTATTATTAGTTAAAACATTAAATCATAAAAGTGATAATAATGAAGAAAAATGTGCGTTGGATAGGAAAATAAAGTAGAAATAGAAAAATTATTAGATATAAATATCGTACGTGCGGATGACCAATCACAGTGAAGTATAGTTGACGATATATTCCGTCATGATTAGCATATCCGGCATGATTAGTTTTGTCCGAACATACAGTTAGCCATATGTAATAGCAATTCGAACCTGTAACGAGATAGCTAAGAAGCAATCCAATCCCTATAATAGCGAATAAACTAGTAAAATTTGCCATCGCTAGCTCATACAAAATGGTCAAGGTTTATATTATTTTTATGATCAAGTAGAGCAGCCAACCGCCTCATTAAATAGGGTTGCATTAACGACCCGTTCCAAAAAATTCATGTTAAAATTGTAGAAGAAATGATTACAGCTTGCAAGAGATACCATGAAATGGTACAAAATCTTAGGAATTCTATAAAAAAGAATTTGTAAGAATTGATTTTTAGATCTGTGCATGAGAATGTGACAAAATTTTGAAGAGAAATTTCTTGTGGAACATTTTATGTTTTTTTTTCTAATTATTTTTATTTTTTTTAAAAGATGTGGGCTATAAAAATCTTCAAACATGATATAACTTCAAATTCTAAGCCATTAATTTTCAAATATGCTAACTCTATCATAAAAAATATTTTTTATCTTTTGAGTGATGTCAATTTTAATTATTTTATTTAAAATTGATTATCATGATAAAAGGTAACAAAAATAATTTATTTAAAATTAACTATTCAGGCTTTATTGAGTTATAAGTGTTATTGTGTCTAAGACATTGAAAAAAGAAAGAATATACATCATAGGGCTTATGGTAGGCTAGGCTGATGTCGTTGTGACAACATGCATGCACATGCTTGTAAGGGCATTCACAACCATTAGCATATATATACATGCATACATGTGTATGTAGCAATATGCTTGTATAGGTGCTTACATTGCAGTGAGTAGGCCAAGCACCCATTCATAAGAGCTAGTTTTACTCTTGTTTTTTAGGCTATGATGCATGGGGTTTCCCACCCTTTCTTTTTCTCCTTGGCTGGTTATTATATTAGATGTTAGACTAAGAATTTCTCACAAGTTATTAAAGATGTATAATGTGATATGGAAGATTATTAGTGATGCTTCGATATTATGAAAAAAAAAAAAAAACAATTCACAAGGACTTAAGATTGTGCCTTATTTCAGGTTATAAATTTCCCCTCTAGATGATAGCAAGTCTCACATTTTCTATTGAATCTCTTATAAGCTCCAGTTCATTCACTTAAGAAATGTTAAGCACAATCCTACTGAGAAGAAATATAATTTATTTTCATAGGCTTTTGTGTGTCTATACAAAGAGTAAAATGCTATCGCACATATATGGGCTGAGTTTGGAGATAATCAAGATCTAAAATGCTCCTATGATAATGCTCTATTACTCTATTCCTCCCCGGAAAGATGAATGGACTATTTTTGTTGGGTGGACTAGATTTGAATTTTTTGATATGGACATCAAATAAAAAATTAGTAATGCCAACATTGACCTTGGCTTTGTTGCATTTAATTCATATGAGTCCATCTATGTGATATGCTTGGTAAATGGTATGAACATTAAAGAGAAATAAACAACCTATTGAAAGCTACTGTGCAAATTTGAAGGCTATAGAAGGATTCAAAAAGTCTTCAACAATATTAAGGAAGCGTACGGTGATATTATGTAAATTCAAAAATTTTATATTTATTTATCTATCATGTTCTCATTCCTTTTTGAATGTTGAACCATGAAATCAAGTTGTTGAAAGTAATAATGCATGATGAAATCCCATTTGTTATAATAGGAGAGTAATCTAGATTTTTAAGAGCTAATCATACATAAGAGAAGAAGACATTTATATTTTTTTTAGATATATAAACTTTGTTAGAGTTCTACTATTCTATAATAGAGATACTGGCCTCAATAAAAGCATAGTGACATCCATTTCTTTTTGAGATTTAAGCCTTCTGAAATTAAAATCATGTATCTCTTAAGCCATTAGCTTGGTAGAGGTTGAAGGCTCTTTAGTAATTTTTTTAATAAGCATGTATCTTTTAAGGATTATGCTGTTTTCTAAGATATTTAGAGATGCATGTCCCTTTTTAACTTTTGATTTCTAAGATTTCTGTATATATATTTGTTCTTTTCAAAACTTATATCTTCTGAAGTTTGTTAATATACTTTTTATTTTCCTTTTGTTATGTATGAAAATTTTTTATTAGCTATATCTTTAGAGGCATATTCCTTCTAAGGTTTTAATGTATCCATAACTTTTGATATTTTAAATTTCTATGATTTCTATATGCCTACACCTTCTCAGGTTTTTAGCCTACAAAAACTTTAGATAAACCAATTGTCGGCTATTTTTTTTCTTTTGAAAATAATATTTTAAAATTTAATTTAATACAATATATAATGTAATTTTAATTTTGTGAAAAATGGTATATATATATATATATATATATATATAACTAAGCATGATACCACAAGTGATATATCATCTCAAAAAGATGAGTGTATCAATTATTGGTAGGCTTAACTATCTAAACTTAAAAGTTTATGACTCTATTTTAGTCTGAGAATTTTATAGCCGACAAATTCCCCTATCTAATGCACAGATTAGACAAGGTTTAGATTAATCTGGGTTCTTAATTCTCTATAGAGGCAAACCCCTAGAGTTAATTACATCATAGACAACCGAAGTCACCTAAGAAAACTCTCGATTAAGATTTCAAGAATTCAATGTTTAGGTTTCCACGATTGCTTGTAGGAAAGGTCAAGCGGGATGGGTTCAAATAGGAACAGTTACTTCCAGAATCCAAATGAGCGAAAAGTAGGAGATGTCGAAGATAACGAATAAGATTCAGTGACATCTCAAACTAACCTATGATTTGACTTTACATCTTTGAAAAAGAAATTATGTGATATTTCAGTCTTGTAAATTATTTAGATATTCAGGAATTATATTCGTATATCATATGCAAATGACCCAAGAAAATATGGGGAATTATGTTATACCGAACGACGAACTCGGAATCCTAAAAAGTTTAGAACTTGAATTGTATGATATAAAATAGAAAGTCCTAAAAAAAGTGTGAGGATTTACATCGGACTAGACGAATTTAAACTTATTGAAGTTCGGTTGAAGCTCCTCTTTCCATCTTCTGTTGTAGTCTCGACCATTGTCCGGAGATGAATCGTCACTCGCTCGCGTCGTCATCTCGTTCTGAGAAAAAGGATAAAGAAAAGAGAAAACCATGCCTTGAACGGCTTATCCTAGGGTTTTATACAAACATGCTAGGAAAACATTATTTAAAAGTATGAATACAGATGAATGTCTATAGCACGATGCCTTATAGGAAATGAACAACTGTGTAGTAAAGTGTTGTAATAGGGAAAAACTGAAGGAAAATTATGAATTATGAAAGTAAAACAATATAAAGAAAAGAAAGACTGTGCAATAAAAAAAAATGCAGTAAAGGAACAAAACTGAAACAACTAAATGTACCTGATTAATTCTGGCGATGTTACAAAACATATTACAATTGCATAATATAAACGGGTTAGATAAACATTTGCATATTATAAAAGAAAAGCTAAGTGATAAGCATATAAAAATTTAAAGTGGGATATTAGCTTTTAATTTGGGGTTAGGCTCAAACTAGACATCTTTTTCTCTTTTATCTCGATCCCACAGGCAACTGATATATCAAAGTCAACCAATCAATATCAACTAGAGGTCACCAACGAATCACCCCTATAATCAGGCAGCCTTAGACCCTATCGTTTAAAAGATGTGTGAACCCAAATAGTATGTGGACTTATTTTATTGAATGTATAATATACCCATGTGAGATAGTATCTGAACTTATCAGGGTGCGGTGCACATATATGTGATATTAGGATAAGTGATGTATAGTATCTGAACTTATCGGGGTGTGGTGTGTATATCTAGACTTTCAAAAGAAATAAAAATTCTTGTGGTATTTGTCATGTGGAGTGTCTAGTGTGTAATATGTGATGTGTTACAAATGTAGTATCTGTCGTATAGAGTGTAATGTGTAGTGCCTATTGTGTATTGTGGTATTTGTTGTATAGTGTATGAAATGAGTATATGTTCCTTTTGCAAGTGTAGTATCTATATAATTGTGTATCTGTTCTTTTCTAACTACCAATTCTCAAGCCTTTTGAAAAGGGTTAGAGCTACCGACGACTTAAGGGGTGAAAGGGCATCGCACTAATTGAATATCGATTTTTATATTTTCAGCTATAAGAAGAGCTGAACAATGGTTCTTTGCATCATTGTCTATCGCCCCACACCTCAAACTTATATCCCACTCTAAATGTTTCATATGCTCTTTTTTTAATGAGAATTTATTATTCAAATGAAATCTCAAATGAAATCGAAACGTATAAAGTCCCAACATAAACTTTCACAATTTCTGAATTTAAATGAAATGAGTATAAAACTTGCTATAACATTCTTTTCAATAGCTAAAAGAACTAACTGCAACTTTCCTAATAAAATATTAAAAGGGATATTACACTAACACTGTAGTCAATACGATTCAAAGAATTATGCATCTCAGTCTTCTTAAAATATCAAACAAATGAATATATCATCCAAATCTTTCTCACAACAGTGAAACCACTAAGCTGACACAGAGGGATCCAAATATATATATTCTCGAGTAAGGCAGCAAAGATAAACAACCAAGCATGTATTCAAAAGTATAAGAATGATCTCCAACATATATTCGAATAAAGGGCAGCAAGGAGAACAAAAACTGAGCCCCAAACATATGTTCCAAACCATAAAAATGATTTTCAGCATGTATTCGAACAAGGACAGCAAGAATAGGAGCAAAACTGAGCCCCAAACATATATTCCAAATTATAAAAAATGATTTTCAGCATATCTTCGAACAAGGGGCAGCAAGGAGAAAAAAAACCGAGCCCCAAACATATATTCCAAACTATAAAAATGATTTCCAGCATATCTTCGAACAAGGGGCAACAAGGAGAACAAAAACCGAGCCCCAAACATATATTTGAAATCATAAAAATGATCTCCAGCATATCTTCGAACAAGGGGCAGCAAGAAGAATAAAAACCTAGCCCCAAGCATATATTTCAAACTATGAAAAAATGATTTTCTAGCATATCTTCAAACAAGGGGCAGCAAGGAGAACAAAAACCGAGCCCCAAACATATATTTCAAATCATAAAAATGATTTCCAGCATATCTTCGAACAAGGGGCAGCAAAGAGAACAAAAACCGAGCCCCAAACATATATTTCAAATCATAAAAATGATTTCTAGCATGTACTCTGTTGTGAGATATTTTCTTCCTGACATAGAAATGAGACGAAAAAGAACACAAGCAAACACAGATCATTTACGTGGTTCGATCCAACTGGATCTACGTCCACGGAAGAGAATCAATCAAACAATTCACTAAGGCAAAAAAAATGGAGAATACATAGCTTATACATAGAGATGAGCCTTCATCTTCCTTCTATGATCTCCCTCTCAAGCGGCACCTTGATACAAGGCCTAAAAATGCTCTCCTCCTCTCTAGCTCTCTAGTTATTCTCTCATTATTCGTGGTAGCTTAAGATCTCTTCTCTTGCTCTCCTAAGTCTCACACCCTCTCTATTTATAGAAGCAAGAGAGTGATAGGTGGGAGGTAGGTGGGCGGTAGGTGAGCGGTAGGTGAGATGTGGTAGGTGAGCGATGCCACATTACAAAATTGTCCTTTTACCTTAGTTCAATAATTGAGGGTCAAAATAACATATTCGAACAAGGGGTAGCAACAATAGGAGCAAAACCAAGCGCAGTAAAACAACTGCTCAAAGCAAAAAAAGAGACTTCAACATGTATTCAAATAGGAACAACAATAATAGGAGCAAAACCCAGCCATCAAAACAGCTCCTCAAAGCACAAAAGGAACGTTTCAGTATATATTCGAATAGAGGGAACATCAGGAAGCAAAACCCAACCACCAAACCCAATTCTAGTCACTTGAGGAGATAATCAATCCCTAATCTTAAAAAAAAAAACATTTGATTCAGATTTCAGGATGTAATAAGGAAAGCTAAACTTCTTGTTTAAAACTTCCAATGCTTAATAATTTGAAGCCATAATCCCACAAAGAAAGCTGAACTTCTTATTGGACAATCAAATGGTGTAAACTAAAAAAAAATCAGAAAACATAAATCAAACAAAGAACCCATATATGACAGGGGGCTTCTTTTTTGTTTAGAAAATATAAAGAAAACCTCAGAAGCAGTGGCAAAACAAGGATTCCGAAATTCCCAAGATAAATTGCTCACAGAAACATAAGAAAGAAATCCAGCTTATGATAATGTAAATCTCAGTTAATAAGAGTGATCACACTGTAGTATGCATCCCTTTCTCACACTGTAGTATGCATCGATCACACTGTAGTATGCATCCCTTTCTTTTCTTTTTTTTTACCAATTTTAAATTCACTTTTTATTCTATTTGCAGATGAAAATGGAGAAAATAATAATAGCTCAATAACAAACTAATCTTCCTCAAAAAGCATCATGTATCCATTGATCCTTTTTTTTTAAAAACAATATTATGCTTCAATGTTTAAGAACTACTAATGGTGTAAGCCAAAAGAAGAAATCCAATTCTTGATAAATCAAAGTAAATTTCACACTGATTTGCTAAAACATGAAAATCCATTTTGTAATCCATGAGAAATGAGGCAAATACTAACGAGGAGAAGTTCCGTAAATAAAAAAAAAACTATGTTGAAGCCATATATTTCATCCTGCAATCAAGAACAAAACAAGGAGAAAGGAGAATTCTTACTTCCAGAGACTGTAAAAGAAAACTCAGAAGCAGAAAAAATCACGAGAAGCACCAGCTCTATGTTCCTCCTCAACGTAAAAAAAAAAAAAAATCGCCACACGAAAGTCTATCCCACGGGGTATTTGAGAAAAAAGGAGATGACGAGAAACACCTCAAAAGGCAAAGAAAATGCCCAAACTCAAGAACAGGAAGATTAACGGACTCATTTAGGCGGGAAAATCAGTTATAGACGGGCTACCGGCGAAGCCATGAGCGACGAGGGGGGAGATGACCGGAAGACCCGCAAGAAACCCTCAAGATTCGGTCAAGAGATGAGAGGGAAAAGGAGTTTCGGAACGCAAGCGTGAAAAAAGGTGTGAGGTTTATTTTTTTATTTTTTTTTAGGGATTTTAACTTTTTATAAAAGGGATTTTATTATATTTTTTTTATTTAAAAAGAAAATATCAAATTTTATGCAACTTATTCATGTGCGGCGTCATAATAAAATGGGTGTCCTCTCTAGCTAAAATCGACGTTCCGGACGTGACGGCGGGGTCCGTTTCGTCATCTGGAGTCACCCGAATAAATTCGTCGACGATCGCGCCAATTTAACTTTAATTCGTGCGTGTTGCGGAAAAAGAAGTTATTTTGGTCCAATCGGATCGTTTAACCAGCGAATTGTTAACCGATCTTCGCCTAAACGACAACCATAATCAAACACATCGCTCGCGGTGGCAAGTCAAACGTCGTACACGTCATGGTGTCCACTTATATCTTTCAAATTTTTATAGGAGTTCAATTTGAGCTTCAATATGTCGGCTTTTCAATCGACTCAATCGAATGTTGAAGATTTGAAACCGTTCATATGAAACTTCAAAGAGCGAAGAAATGACTCGAATTTCTAAGTATCATGGGTCACAGTCTAGTCCTCTAAGAGAGTCAAATAGAAAATCATAAGACTAGATCCTAGGGTATCTAGGGAAGAGAAAAGAAGGCCTCACCAATATCTTTCAAGGCATGTGGTCTTTTGATATTATTTTTTATATAGCTTTTATGAAACTTATGCTCGCTTAAATATTTTGGATTTACATGTACTTTATAAAGTTATGCCATCATACTTTTTTGTATGGTCCTCTACTTTTGGAGAATTACGTTTTCTCATATATTTTTCATGAGAAAAAAATCTTATTTATCACTTGCTTTCATGAAATTTTTTAGTGATGACCCTATCTGCAGCTTCTTTTCCATTCAAGAGGTTTTGTGTGGATCGAGGCTGTGTGGGATCCTTCAAATAAGTGCGCTTTCCAATACTAATATATCGCCAAGACTAAGGGCCCGTTTGGGGCAGCTTATAAGT